GCAGCCCCGCCAGCAGCGAGAGCTGCCCTTGGTACCAACATTCCTCACCAGCAAGCACCTACACCAGGCCAATAATCCCATGATGATTAACAAAATCTAGCACTAGAGGGAGGCTGAACACATGTTCTGCTCTGTTTGGCCTTTCCAACTTCTCCAAACATTAAAAGGCAGGTGATTTWAAGCAAGCCCAGCACCAACAGGCAGAGCCCAGCCTCCAAACAAGMGATGAGCTATTTAAGGCAGCACTCCACATTGGCAAAACTCACGCTCTTCCCTCCCCAGCTATTTGCCAAGACGTGCACCCAAAATTAAGAAATAAATTTTTAAAAAACCAATCAAAACAATTCCTGTGTCCCGGCTGTTCCTTCAGCTGGTGAGTCAGAGCCCACAGAGGCACCACAGAGCAGAGTCAGACAGCGAAACACCTGGCAGCCTCCTCCCTAACAAGGATGGGGCTCTCGCTTCTCGCATCTATCAACACATTCCCACCTTCTCTAGGCGTGAGTGCTGAGAAGCGAGACAGGTCTCCTCAGAACAGAGCTGCAGAGGAAGGCACTCACGCCTCCAGAAYGCGCTTCAGCTCTTCTCTTCCCAAAATTCCTTGGCAAAAGGAATCCGAGCCCTTTGGCTGATTTTCTGCACATCACAACAGGACGATACGAACAGTGAGTTCAGTAGGTCTGAATGTGGGAAAGTTCCCTGCCCATGTACCTGCAGCCCCTCCAAGCATAGATGGCTATAACAGAACTGTATATGAAATTACTTTATACTGTACTTCATGCAACTGTTCAAAGTCTGGTTGTTCCTTCACTTTAACCCCCAACCTAAATCCACTTCTTCACATCCACTTCGATATACCCCAAATTCTTCCTGTGTTCAGCTACGGATGGTGTTTAGTCATTAATATGAAGTTATTACACTAATGAGGCACTGGGATGTAGCAGGCAGAATAGCTCTGGGATGCAGGAGATCTCAGTCTTATTTTTAGTCTGTTACTGGTCAGCCCAGTGACCTAGGCAAAGGACTTTCCCTGCTCCAGCTTCCTTATCAGGAAGAGAGAGGCATTTCTTTTGTAAAGTGTTTTGTGGCCTGTCAATAAAAAACACACTGATAACAGCTGAGGGYTGCTGGGAAAGCAGTGCTCTCCCAGCTCAACACAATCCTCTCCTTCCCGTGCTGTGGTAACATCTCAGATCCCAAATGAAAATCAGCCCCATGTGTAGATGCAGCACAGGCAGGTCACTAGTAGCGATTTGTAAATGGATGTAACCCCAAGGTGGCCCTTGGCAAGTCAGCAGCTGAGGGTCACATCTGCTCTGAGCCATCCAGGACTGGCCCCAACATGAAATGCTGGGCTCTGACCCTCCCATTTAAAGAGAACTGGTCATTTCAAGGCCAGCAGTACCCATGGTTCCTGAGACAGTCCTCACAAGGATGGGGCATGGGGCAGGGACTGGCTTTTCACACCACTGTGCACAGTTCTCCTCCCAGAGCTGCCCTGCCCAGCAAGGAAGAAATTGCCAGAGCCATAAGYGAGGGTCCCTCTCTGAGCAAACAGGGTACTTGAGAGGTGGCTGATGAGAGTTTTTACTTTTGCTTTCCCTGGCCTGGGCAGAATGCCTGTTTTGAAACTAGAAGGCAAAAAAACATAATAAAAAYCTGCCTCCCTCCCTCCCAGATCTATCTATTTCCCTTTGACAAACAGTGATTTCATTTTTCTTCCCGTCCAGAACTTTTTTTTTTTCTTTCTCTTTTAAACTGAGCCCAGGCCAACGTGGCAAAAGGCTCTTTGCTCATGTCCTTATTTGTCAAACACGCCATCGCCGCACCCTCACCACCGTTCTGGGAACAAGTCCTCGCCTTCCCCGGCTCCAGCCGAAGGGGAACTTCCCAACACAACTCTCCCCCAGCCCAAACTCACTCTTTCTAAAATAAATATTTCCTTTTCTTTCTTTTCTCTTTTCTTTCTTAAAAAAAAAAAAAAAGAAGCATTCCAGTTAATAAGGGTTTAAATTTCCTTCCCCTTTCATCCCCACAGCCCTGCTGTGAATCCGAATATGAGGGACCTAGATGGGAAAACAGAAATTACAAGAAAATGCCAGATTTATCACAAAGGTATTTCATGACCCAGCCCTCCTCTGATTTCCATCAGAGCATAAGTCAGATACTAAAGTACCTTTTTGGATCTGATCCTAAGTGGCCAGTTCCACTGTCCAAAGAGAGATTCAGAGATAAACAGGTCTATGAAAACTGGGTATTATTATTTTAACTGCTGCTCTTAAGCTACAGCTTAAACTGTAATAAGCAGGACAGCTTTCAGCCCTCTGGTAACTGTAACACACAAAATGATAATAAACTAAGCATTTATCCTGCTGTCCTCATCAACTTAACACCCAGAATTAAAAGCTTTACCTGGAGCCCCACAGCACACGTAGTTCATAAGCTGTCATCAGCACTGTGCCATCCAGAGARAAATTTCTGATGTAAAATGGCTGATTTGATGGAACAGATGAATTTCAAACTCTGGAGTAGATCTGGAGGGCTCTCACGAGGTCCACAGGGGCCAAACCACCCCAGACAGCAGCCTCAGGTCTGGTCAATGCTCAGGAACAGGGTCTGCTGCTCCAGCACTGACATTTAGCAATGGGGAAACTGAGGCATGTAAATAAAATGGTCTGGCATTGGAGAGCAAAATCAGCCTCTTGGAGCCCAACACAACACGTGTTCATGAGATCCCTGATTTCAGGCAGCCATGTCCTCAAGCAGAACAAACACAGTCACTATTTGTTCTGCTCCTTTAGCACAAAAATGTCTGTCCAGAGTTGCGAAAATTACTTTGTTTGATGTACAAAGGCATTGAGCAGCWCTCTCCATCACCACCTGCCCTTTTTCTCCCTTCTTGGGGCTTACATCTTGCTTCAGCACAGCTTTTGCTGCTCCTGAAAGATAAGGAACTGATCTTGCAACACAAAACCCTGCTGGCTCCTGACTCGAGCCCTGACTTTTGTCTGCTCCTGATCTCCCACAGAAAATGGAAGGGAAAAGGGAGGGGAAGAGGTGACAAGAAAGCACAGATGAAAGGCAGAGAGCTGTTTGCTGCACAAGAACACATTTGTGATGGTGACAGGCAGGACTGCTTGRGTACAGCTGGTACTCACCTTCCTCTGAGCAGGATACCATGCAAAGGAATCCTGCTCTAACCAAGCTCTCCTAAAACCCAACACTGAACACAGCTCCAGTTTCCCAAAGCCAGAGAGAAAGGGTGTGACAAATAGCAATTCCATGAGCTCAGAGGGAAGAGCTGTCCTGCTGAGTGGTTCTACCAAGGARCACAACCCCATGACAGCCTCGAGTGGCTCAGGGACACTTCTGGGGCCATGGCAGGAGTGAGCACCTTTCAATAAACACACAAAGTGCTCTCCCTGGGTGACCTGGGAAGGGAAAGCCTGACCCTGAGGAATCCTGTGATGCACCAGGACCCCTCCCTGGTAGCCAGGCTCCTGTGCAGGCCCCGTGTGCCCTGCCTTTGCCAGGAGCCTGCTGCTCCACGCCTTCCCAGAGCCTCTGCAAGCTCCCACGGGGGCCACTCTYCTCACAGAGATAAAAGACAAAACAACACTTGCTGGGGAATTACTTCATTCCCCCAAGGCTGGGAAAAGCCATGCTCTGCACTTGGCCAGTGTCCCTGATGGCTGCAGCCTTTCCTGGCAAGGGAGAACACAATTCCCATTAACCCCTTCCTGCTCCAGGGCTGCTTCCGACATGGAGCCCACCACAGGAACAGGCTGAGGCTTTGCAAAGCCTCTGAACACCTCAACACAGGCAAGAGATGCAGTGAGCCCATGAGGGAGGGGAATGTTCTGTTTTTTTCAAGGCATAAGCTGGTGAGAGGGTCAGGAACTAAGTCAGGTCCTGTGAATCCTGTTTAATGCCTGTCTGATGGCCTAGCCTCATGCTCAAACCCATCAAGGGATACAGGACTGCCACAATCTTCCAGGGCCATCAAGGGCAGCCCTGTGTCAGTGGATATGTGGTTACACAGCTCTCACCAGCCTCAAAYCCTTGACCATGCTCTCTTTGTTCTCATTGCTTCTCACAGAAGGCTCTTCCAGACCTTTGGAGCCTCAGTGCTTAGAAAAATTCTAAACACTAGCATGAAGGGACCTCTGACAAGCTCGGCCTCTCCTGTTCCTGCACCAACACTCAGACAGAGMTGAAATACAGGCTTATTCCCCAAGTGTATTTCAAATTTGCAACCAGACCCATTCTCAGCCTTCCTTTTGCTCAGCTAACAAGACAAACTATTCTGACACCCACGGGGAAGATTAGTTTCTCAGTCCCTGATCACCGTGACTGCCTCATYCCTGCACCTCCCCAGAATGTRCCTSAGMAAACMCAAACCTGGCACTCCAGGCAAACCTGCAACACCTGCAAAAGGATTCCTGTCTTTTAATGGTATTCACAGTCTGTCTATACCCACTTTGGACATGCCATCATCACCTAATGCATCTTAGATGTTGCATTTTCATCCAGATGGCCAATCTAGAAGATCCAAGCCAGCAAAGAGAGGGTGAAGAGGGTCTCGATTACATCACTGGAGCCTGGGCCAGAGCTTATTTGCTTCACTTAATTTTAGGCATCTAAACAAAGCACTTTTAGGATCAGATTACTGCCCTAAAGTCTCTCCACAGTCCATGGAAGGAGATGGCCATCCCAGAAAACAATTCATTCTGGGAAGGTTTCACTCCCATCCGCCATCACAAGGACATAAGGCAATTAGTCTCCTAATTCAAGCCGGATGGGAAAAATCCTTTAATAGACCARCAAGTTTTGAATGGAAATATTCCCTGCTTAGGAAACAGAGCTTGCTAAAGCTGACTTGGYTATTCCTGACACATGATTTTTAACCAGAACTTTGCCACCTCATTTTATTATCATTAATTCATTTCCACAATCTGTGGATCGGTTCTGCATGAATGGCAAAATTTTTGTCTTCTTACCTGCACATTGTAAGCGACATCATCCAGAGGGGGTGGCGGGGGAAAGGCACCTTGTGGTGATGTGATGCTGCCGAGGTCATCCACAGGAGGGGGYGGGGGAGGAAGGAAGTCCCCTAGGAGAGAGAAGGGGAGAATTTAGGCTCACCAGCATTTCCCCATGTCATGGCAGRGATGATCAGGATGAGCCCTGCAATACCTGCAGCTCTGCCCATTGGTTTTGTGGCACAGGTTGCAACACTCTGTTTAACCATTAAATGCTCAGCTTCACACCTCACTGCTGCAGGAGAAGGCTACAGAGCTCAGGAATTGGCAAATGGCTTAGGGGTGCTCAGACTCCACAGCAAAAGGTGCTGTGCCACAAAGCCCAAAGGCACCAACAAGCAGCTCCACAGATCCAAACTGAATCTCAAACCTGCCACAGGCAACCACAAAACTTCCACTAATGAACCCCCGTGTATAACTTTGCAAAGGATCCCATCCAATTCACTTGCCTCATGTGCTAAGCTATGCCAGCTCTCCTTGATCCCTACAAAGACAGCATCAGGTGCTGTCCAAAAGCAGGAATTCCCTGCTGCAGAAGACACACAGAGGGCTGGAGCTGGAGCCCAGAATCTAGACCAGCCCATCTCCTGCATCCCTGGTGCTGGCAGGCAGCCACACTCTTTGYACCTCCCTTTTCCTACAAGGACTTCATAGCTCCATGTAAAGAGGAAGATCACAGGCTCTCCWCAGTGACAACAGCCACGTGATGGGCCAGGTGCAAGCGCACAAAAATCCACCTCTCTTAACTCAGGGTTTTTACAAAGGAGCTGATGTACAAAATTTCTAGAATTCAATTTGCTCATGGTAATCTCAAAAGTGCTGATGGGAAGAACAAAGCAGCACAGACTGGCTGTGAAGCCATTCAGATTGGCACAGAGATGGGAGGTGGCAGAAGAGAGAAGCTCTCCTTGAGAATTTCATGGGATGTGGGACCACGGAGGASAAAGAAAACAAGGACAGAGCAGCACAGGACACCAGGCTCTGAAAGCACCTTCTTCTGGTAGAAAAAGAGCATTTGCCATTAGCACTGAATTTGTCTCCAGGGAAGGCAGCTGCCTGCAATTTGGACCACTTTGGTATGTTTTTATTTCTTCTTATGAAGATTGATGTTGCAAGYAGAGCTGTTTGCTGTTGGCTCTCGTTTGTGCAGCATCTGGGATGGAAGGTTTTGGATTAATAAAAGTGTGATATTTCACATATATAAGAACTGCTGCTTGTGGAAGGAAATAGGAAGGAAATAGGAGACCTTACAGATCTCCATGCAGCATCATACCACGTTCAGGCTAGAGGCCCTCAGCRCCATCCCTAAATGCCAAGGAGAAGGCTCCAAAGCACTCAGAGAGGTRCTGAGCCAAACCCCTGTGACCTGCAGCCCTCTGGGCCACCTGTGGCCAGGTTTAAGGCCTTAGGCTCAGCCCAGCCCAGGCTCAGGCACCAGCTGGGCAGCACTGCCAGCACAGCACCTTCATGCTCTCTGCCACGAGAAGCAGATGGGTCTGCAGCCCTGGAAAGTTTTTCTCTTCTATTTCGAATCATTCTCTGAAAGACACAAACTTCCCCTATGACTTTCAGAGATGTAATTTTCAAGGAAAGTAATTTCTTCCYATTTTCCCCAAAGTGAGCATGGATGGGACTCAAAAAACCACCTCTGAATCCCTAAGAAAGTGTCATCCTAAATACAGATGCTCAAAGACAGTTTGAAAACAACACASTGAAAACTAATTTAAGACAATCATGTTGCTCCAACACAAAAAAAAATCCTAAGAAATCCACTGGCTCATGCTATTATAGAGTTCAGGATTGATTTTTTTTTAAATTATGTCCAATATTATCTGCAGTATCCTCCTCTTTGCCCTGTAATTAATGCAATCTTTTATTTCAAATCATGTGAAATACAATATGAAATAAAAAGCAGAAAGATTTTGAAATTAACATCTAAGGGTTTCGTTCTAAAAAATCCTGGGATGTTTGCGTGCTTCATAAACTTTTCTCCTTTGCTCTGAAAATGACCCTCCAACCAGCCAACATGATTTTGCAAACAAATTCAACTCCAGCGGACACAGACTTCCCAAGATTATGCTTCAGATGGTGACTCTCCAGCTAGTCCTGGCTGATGCCAAAGACTCATCTCCCTGCACAGCACATTAGTCAGACACTCTTGCTTTATTACARCCCTTCAAAACACCCAAGGAAAATCAGGGTAGAGAATGTGCTGGAGGGGATGAGACAGGGGAAGGGGCAGGTTTTCTGCATAAACACAAGTTTGCATCTAACAATGACCATTAGAACAAACATAAACCAAATACCATTGCTGCCCCTTTGGAAGACCCATTCCCCCTGAAAGAAAAGAAAACATTGGCAAGATTTTTCAGAAAAGGAGCAAAGGACAGAAAAAGAGAAGAATTCTCTCCTCRAGTTTGGAAGCAAACACTTCTTTGCAGTAGGAGACAGCTGGCTCTAGTGCATCCAGCCCAGCTCTGCTGACTCCATCCTGTGTTAGATAAGCTGCTGGCTCCACTCTCCCCACAAGCGRGAAGGTTTTTACACTGGGAAGCAGAGAGCAGATGCCTGATGAACTGGGGGGACCTTGCAGATGTTTGGCCTTTTCCTGGTTCTCTGCGAACAGATGGACCTTTCTCCTTCACAGCTTTAGTTATTTATTCTGCCACTGCGCTTTCCTCTTTCCCACACACAGCCACGGGACCCGATGCTGTTCCCACTGCACTCACGGGAGTGTATTCCCTCGGATGCAGAAGGGAAAGCTGTCACTGCATTRTTATTATTGTTGGCATTGCTGAGTCTCCCTCCGGCAGGGAGGGAAGCATGCAAAGACTGAAATCTGTGTCCTCAGCAGCGTATGATTCCAGCTGATGTGGGGAAGAAACAGGTCTATGTTTGAGGGAGAGGGAAAGAACCCAGAATCCAGCTTACACTCTCTTTAAGCACACGCTCCCTACAATGCACCTTGGGGACCTCCTCTCATCCCCGGAGCTTTGCAAGTCAGATTTCGCTTACTTAGAGCTGGGCAAACTGTGGGAGGAGGCAGGAAAGTCCATGTCCTGGCAGAGCACATGACTGCCACCACCTTCAGCGTCACAGAGCCACGAGAGCCGCCTGGGTGAGGGACAGTCCCTGGTCCGCATGGATGCACCGACAGCCACCACGGAACGGGGCTCTGGGGTCATCAGTGGAGGTCACAGCCATCCTCTTCTGATTGATTAAACCAGGCTGTACCTCTGTGAATGAGGGATAAGATGGGCAAAAAGCTCATTGGTATTAATGATCAGTACCAAGAGAAGCATTTTGGTTGACTTTCACCCGACATCAACTTGAACACTTGGATGTACTTCAAGTTATGAGAGTGACTGCACCGAGCTCCATCAACAGAGAGGCATCAAGACATCTCCAGAAAGCAATTTGTACTTTAGGGCAGGTGGAGAGACTCACCTTCCAATGGCAAGTCTCCCCATGAAGACAGCCTGGACCAGGCGTGTTTGGAGGTAAGGAACCACACCGTGACACAGCCTGCTAGTGAYRCTCCTACAATGAGAAATCTCTGCCYRTTACCRWATGTYTAAGCAGAGAAAATRAACACTCCCTGTTGCACCAGCTACTCATTCCCCCTTCATACAGCTGTGAAGGCTGTGAGTCAACCCACGAAGGGGCTGTGCAGTGAGACACAGGCCCAGCTTGGTTATTTCAGATTCGGCAGYGCAGTGTGCCGTGAAACCGCAGCCCTGAGCTCTGCCCTCGGCACCGTGCGGCTCCTGCACCGGGGCAGCACCGCTGCAGCCCCAGAGACAGGGCTGCCAGCCCGATGGTGGCCCACCCCAAGCAATGCAGGGCTTGTGTATTGTTGGTTTGAACAACAATAGGACAATTGTAAATACAGGTAATCAGGCAGAAATTAAGTGAGTCCAGCATGGCCATGTTGGCAAGTAATAGCCGAGCCGTAAGCAGAAGTGATGCCTCCCAACSTGGCCTCTGGCTTCCATCAAATCTGTGCCATCACAGATGCATTTGCAAGGTTTTACCCCTCTCTGCCCCAGAATTCATTTCATTATTACCCTCTTAAGTATACAATTATGAAATTGTTCAAAGTCCTAACAGACATCGACATCAGCACAAACCTGTCAAGCTGAAGAGAAACTCGTAAAATTTTTGCCACTGGCTGCCTGATGCCTTCTGGGTACAAGTACAAGCTGAGAAAAACATCCTGTCTTATGCACCAAACACMATTCTCACAGTCTAACCTTTAAAATTTTAAGTGCACTTCAGCTTTTGCAGGATCAGGATCATGTCTCAAGTCTTTATTTTCAGGAGATATATCTGCCAATCAACAAACGAATTGCAGCAAAGTAATTGCCTCCCCCCTTGACAGACACAGTTGTTCAGACATGAAGATTTGCAGCTTTGAAACTTCTARACTTGAAGAAGGTCTCACATTAAGAGACTCTTTAGGGGAAAAACACTGASAAACACAAAGGAGCAAAACACCATATTTTTTTACTGAAACAGTAAGTTAATGAAACCTATTTACCAAGGAAACTGGCTTACACTGGTCTTCCCARATCTCTGGCTGACATCTGAGGACTGTATGTCAGATGCCGATTTCAATTTTCTCCTTCCAAGCAAAAATAACCCTTTCTGATTGTCATCTTGATAATTTCTCATTCTGAAGCTGTTCAGATTCAATTTAMTCACCTGAGAAGCACAATTCAGCCCTGAACTCAGAGACCAGACTAAGGGCAGTGACGGAGCTTAAACCCCCACTGACGTGTTTCCCTTCTGATCCAGACAGACTCCATTTGGCAAAGTCCTGAGCAGATACAGGCACTGTTCAGTCAAGTATTCACTTTCTACTGCAGAGAGTCAAAGCTTTCTATATTGGAGAAATTAAAATTTGCACCTAGAACCTAATTCACTGAGCAGTAGCCTAAAACCCTGTTGACTGAGGCTCCCAAAACCTGCATTCCACAGCTGTAAAAGCCTGCAGGACATCACAGTATTACTAAGTGGTCTGGGAAACTTCCTACTGCAAAATAAGAAGGCAGGATTTTTATAGAAAACT